GCGGAGTTTAATTTATTCTACCGTAGATCGTAAATAAAAACTTCGAGATTAGATAAATCATTCTTTCAACTCCGTAAGAACTTACTTAAGGTGATTTTTCTTTGAAATAAAGTCATAATTGACCAAAATTTACAAAGGAAACCAGTTTTTAAAGTTAATTTGAAATCAGACGCCATCTTGGATGATCAAAGTTATCATCCAAGATGGCGTTCCCATACATATTAACCAAATTTTTCAAATCTTTATTCGCTTATATCTTCATCGAAAAGTAAGCTACAGGACTAAAAGCTCGTATTCTAGATAATTTGACTATGCTCTTTATGACTTGCTACTTGGTTTTTGAAAATAACGAATAATAACGAATGAAAAATTTTCAGTTCGGGGGTTGCAACCCAATTTCGAAGTTTGAATTCAAATTTGATTTCAATACGGTAATGTTGAATAGATCTTTTTGCATTATCGATATTTTCGAAATCCGTGCACCCTAAAACAAAGGGTGTTAATAATTTGCCCGTGGAATATGGTTTTCTTTGTAATATATATACAATATGAGCGGGCGATCTCAGCATGTTAATATATTGCATTTCCTGTTTTTTTTAGTACAATATATATGTTACGCAAATACGCATTTTATTGGTTTATATTGATATTTTTTCTTGAAAATATTGATGCTATTCTTTTGTTTTAACTGTGCAAAATTTGGAATTCAAATGAATTGTTGAATCGACCACGGAATCGACTAATAGTGTGTTGAGGGGGCGCGCGTCATGCCTTTTGACATGAAATTTGTGCTTCTCTAGGCTATATCTTTTACAATTAATTCAATCGAAAAAAATGACTCGTCATAAAGCCCATAACTATGTACTGGTGTGGTCATCAATCATACTCTGGCTTAGACCATGAAGTCGTTGAATGTAATGAATTTTATATATTACTATCAACAACACTTAGCTTGGAAAGAAGTTTAAAATTATTCATGATTGATTACAATTGTGATTAAACAAACGTATAAACACTTGTAATTACCTGATTCGATAGTACCCCTAATCTTCGGAATTTGATAAACTTTTTGGAGCCAACACAGTATGATATCACATCACGTGAACTTGTCATAAATAGCATCTGATAGAGTCTCACATGAGCACTTGTTAATAAAATTTATGTCAATTAATGCACTAGTCAATTGAAACCCCCGACCCCTGGGGCTAGCGGGACACTGAACGGGGACGTGAAGCCGTTTTTAAAACGTGCTTTTAACGGCAATATTGTCCCGGGGGTCGGGATTTTGATGAAATGTTTTGTTTCAAAAATCGTTTGAACATAATACACCTACTTGCGAAAACGTTGTCATAGAAAATAGGACATTTCTATTTAGTAAAAAAGGAATAAATTAAAAACGACAAAAGAAGATCACTGAGGCTGAACGCTTTCTTTTGTCTTGTTTTAATATTCCTTTTTACTAAATTCAAATGTTCTATTTTCTATGACAACGTTTCTGCAAGTAGGTGTACATGTATGAGTCTGGAAACTAAAGGTCGTCCATCTTAAAATACCCTGAAAGCATTGGTATTCAACCCTGTTTTTGTGTTCGTTTATTTTTTCTTGCACGAAAAGTTAAAAAAACTTGTTATACATATAGTACGCAATTGAGTATACGGAATTATACAAAAGTTAACCCCGTGTATCACAGAAAAATTGGAGTTGGATTGAAAGTTGTTTGTTTTGTTATTAAATATTAGACCAAAATAGCGGGGCCACAGTAGCGAATGTGTCCCCGACTACCGGGTGAAGTGTCTTATTTTAACACCACTCAAACGTTGAATTCCCCGGTATTTCCCGGGGGGCGGGGGTTTCAATTGACTGGTGCACAAGTAAAACTGGAATGAATCTTACACTACTCTTTCTAACTACTCAATACCCCATCATCCCAAGTTTTGCTTGATTTGTGTGAAGTGTAATCAGTGGTTAAGTATTTCTTATATTTTTTTCACGTCACTAACAATAGTTTTAAACTAAGTCATGCAGGTGTGATTATAAAGAAACACCGTGTGTTAGAATTTTGTCCTATTTGCTGATTCGGGATGTAGGTACTACACAGTTAGCTAGGGAGCATCTGACATTGCACGAAGCATACACACACAAAAAACACACACACACACACGGAAATGCGCAAAGAGGAAAGATTATATTTTAGAGTGGTATTTTGCTATATAGACTCTAGACTCCTCGCAGCCGTTTTCTGGTGTCGTCTCCTTAATCCTCCCCCACAAGGAGGATTAAGGAGACGACACCGGAAAACGGCTGCGAGGAGTCTATATAGACTCATGCTAGTAAGAATTCGTTATTCTTATAGTTCCAATTAACACCTCAAGGACGAGAGCGGTGAGAAACCACTACTAACATGTGACATTATTGGTTCATTAAGGAAAAACTGTTTGTATCGTTGGCATAAGTAATATGAAATCTTTCGTCGTCACTGTAAATACATAAATGCTGGACGCAATTATATGAGAGCCGATACTATTCAAAAAGCGAAAAAAAAAATGTGAATAAGTTGATGGACTTGATGCCTCCCCTATCCCCTCCAATATAAAAAACACAGCACCACCACTTGAATTGAGGAAAACGTGAGGGGATCATACCGATTATACACATCGTTCAATCGGTATAAATTAGTAGAAAAACATTACACAAGTAGTGTCAAGTGAGGGAAAATCCCCTTTTTTATAATGTTATAAAACAAAATTCAAGTTATGATTGTAATACAGAGCTTACCTGCTTATCTAGATAATTCCATGTTAGCCTAAACAAGTTCTTGTATAAATGGTGTTTAGTGGGCTTTTGTATATTCAGGTTTTTAAACAGGTTCTTATTTGCATAAGAAAGAAATCGTTATTTTTAGGCTCTTATGAGCAGATAAGTACTGTATACATACTCTTTATATTACATTCTTTGTCAAGTCCAATTTATTATACCAGAACAAGTTTGTGAGGTTGTTTAAATGGGCTGAGCTGACCCAGATCAGCATATTTTTTCTTGAAATCTTATGTTTGCTAAGGATTGAAACAAACAAACCAAAGAAAACAGCTGTATCCTAAATCTAGCTCACTCCAAATAAACAAACCTTTTAACAAAATCACATGAGATAAATTTAACATTGTTCTTTGAGTAATTTTCATTTAGCTGAGAATTAAAACTAGCTAGAACAAACAAAATTATAGAACTGGGCACTATTAGAAACTACTGTAAGGTGAGTTATATCACACAGGCTTGTGGAAACCTCTAATACTTAATATCCTTTTTGACAGTTTTTTGTTCTAATCAGTGGTGTGTAATACTGATAATTTGTTACACTCAATGACTTGTCCTTGTTGACATTTTTTAGAAAATTATGAAACATGTACGAAAATGATTTGCAATTTGCCTCAGATATCAACTGTGCGGAACCTAAACTTTTTCATATCCTCTTTGACTCTTTCTACGTCCAATAATGTATGCAATAAGGACAATAAGGACAAGACCAGCTAAAGCACAACCAACCGCTATGGGTACTATGTTGTTATCTTTGCTTTTTGGTGCTGGAGTTGGAGCTGTCTCACAATTAAATTCTACAAGAAACCAAAATACAAAGATTTAATAGAGTCTCATTTGATTAGCACAGGTGGACTGAAAGAAGTCAATTACCAGGAATTGTACCACGCTAGCTAACATACACAAGGCAGAGATATTGTACATGTACTTGTATTATTATTGTCACTGTTCACAGACATGGTAATGAGAACAAACATCTTGATTTATCTTATGACTTAAGGACAAAAATACATATTACTGCAATTTGATGTTGAGTTTGTATCATCTTCTAAGTGATTATAATGTCTCACCTTTGCCACAAAATTCAGATGTGTTACTAGGTTTAACTCCAAATGGCTGCAATTTGACATACTTGAAGAACAACTGTCCATGCATTGATGGATATGTGCGATTAGCAGCGCACATGTAGTACCCTTCTGATTTAACATTCAGTCCAGCCAATTCTGTGCTGTTAGTTACACTGACAGTGACGTTCTCTTCTACAAAAACCAAATTACTCATGTAAATTTAGCAGTTTACAAAAAGAAGTGAGTGAGCAAATGTTTGACAGAAATGTTGTAGATTTGAAAAACAAAATGCAAATCTTACTACAAGTGCATCATGGATAATCAGGGTAAACATACAAGAAAAATCACGCCGCCAATGGCGACACAACTCAAAGATTGTTAGACAAGTATACCATGGACATAAATTGTATGAAGCCTCAGACTTTGTTCAGATATGGTCTAATTTCGACAAAAAATCTATAAAATGTATCGACAATGAATTATCAACACCATGACAATTTCTTAGTTTGAAGTGATGATACCTTTGAATGCTGACCGTTAAAATTTATATTTTGAGTTCTTACTGTAGTGTCATCCTTGCATCGCTTTTTTACAAAGGATAAAGTTTAGATGAATCGATGAGCATTAAATATTAATTGACGTGGATTGGAATAATCCTTGAAATTATCATAATAGAATGCTGTATCTATGAGACATATTGACACGATATCTCCTAAAACGACAGTTTCTGAAATCAACAGATTCTTATACAAGAACTTCTAGACCTCAAAAAACACATTTTGTGTGTTTAAAAAGCCATTTCTGTATCAAAACACCTGTCCATCTTGGTTATGGATTTCTAAATGCCCTTATTACAGAAAAAATTAGTGACTTATTTACTAGTCCCTCACACAGATCATCTCCCTCCTATAACTCTTGCTTTGCAATCTTCGAGTTAAAAAGTGGGTGGGTATTTTGTAATGACTTTATTGTAAATTGGAATACCAGTGATGTCGCCCCGAAGTGATGTCGCCCCGTGATCTCGCCCCATATATATAAGTGATGTCGCCCCACACATATAACATTGTATTATTGCTATTTTTCTAGAGCAGAAACTAATCAAGAGTTCTGGAGTTCTTGAAATGTCAAAGTTTTTGTTTAAGATATGTTGGTAAACTTAAATAATTTTCATCGGCAAACCACTGCAATGATCCACTCGACTCGCGTTAACTATTTGTTGTTAACTAAGTACTTAATTCAGTGCCAAAAGACATGTATTTGTCTCACAGACTATTATCGTTGTGCCACCCTTCGATGTCGTTGTTCGTCCGTATCGCTTCTTTGAAGACACACCAGTTGTCTTTGGTCCAGACAGGGGATGCTAGCCAGTTGTCCTCGAAGTAATCAACGAGTTGTCGGAGTTCTGGGGTGGCGTCGTCTTTCAGTCGTCGGAAGTTGCGTCTGATACAGTCGGTCGGTAGGAAGGGTAGTGCCATCAGCTTTCGTATTAGGATGTAAGTGGAGTCGTCGTTTGCATATGCCACTTGGAGGCCAAGTTCCTGGACTTTGCGGTAGACAGCTTGAACTAAGTGAAACACGCAGCCACGCATGGTGATGTTGGGGAAGACTCGGCGGCATGACTTCCAGGCGGCTTTCTCAAAGTCTGCGATGATGGTCTCCACTGAGGGGTTGTCTGGCAAGGCATCTGAAACTCTTTGGAGGACTGCAGTGTAGTCGCGGGCTTTTCGTCCTGACATTAAAACGAACACCATCGGTACCTGTTTCGCACAGTCACCATTCTCTACAAAGGCGTTGATGGTAAATAGCTGCGTGAACGGGTGGCGACACAGCTTGAATGTACCGTCGATGTACCAGTTTGTTGCCTTGTGAAGTAAGGAGAGTTGTAGGTCTTATCTTTGTTTGTAGGTCTTATCTTTGTTTGAAGTTTTATTTCAACCACCCAGTACTCGTTCGTAGTGAAAGACAAACTACAGTATCGCTCGAATTATCACTTCGAATCGGAAACAGACTANGCCAAAACTTCGCTTGCCCTCTGTTTGCTACAAACACTATCAAGTCCAAATACGTTAGATTGGAAACTATTTGACATTATATTACTTTGTTTTAAGTGCAAGGTGGTGTTTTATTGTTTCGAATTCAACCGCTTACTCAGCTACTCGTTCGTAGTCGTTCGTAGTGAAAAATAGATTTCACTGAAATTTGTCCATATAGGCCTGAAAAACTAAAAGTCAACGATAGCTAACTTGTTTATATTTTGCATTACGACTGCATATATATATATCAATAACTAAGTGGGGGCGAGATCACTTATATATGGGGGCGAGATCATGGGGCGACATCACTTGGGGGCGACATCACCGGATACCGTAAATTGCATGGGACTAAGAAATTTTGTACTTTCATTCTCAATGAAATATAATCCATGTTTTGAAAAGAATATATTTCTGGACACAAACATTTTTTGTGTTTAAAAATATTTTATAAATGATGGAAAATAGCTTAAAGAATCATAACCACCCGCCGTACCTTGCGAGCCGAAGCGCCATTTTAGGTGGACACAAAAATGGCGGATTTGTAGGATTTTCTTAAAGTGAGCGCAAATCGTCTTCCGTCCTTTCAGTTTGGACAGAAATACGTTTAACTAAGTACCTCACAGGTACKATCAATCTATAATTTATTGTATGCTTGACGCATTTAAACGTATGTAAACAATAATACGAGCACGCAAGGTACGACAGGTGGTTATGATTCTTTAAGGCAAAAACATAGATTCAAATTATCCAACATAAGTTGACATTCAGTACATGAGATAGAGTGCTTGTTTTGAATGTTTAAAGGGCAGTCTACCTTTGAACTGCCTTACTGACCCTTGCTGCTCTTTATTAAACACATTATAAACACATTTTGACTACTTAGGTGTATATAACAAGAGTGTCACAGACTTTGTATGTTTGTACTAATTACCCACTAACAATTGGACTCTTTCAAAAATACTAGACTTTACCTGTTGCATTGGGGAATTGTGGATTGTTCTTTGTTTTTGCCGTAAAATCAATTTGGCTGACTTCCCATCCAGTAGTAGTATTGGTAGCACCTTTTGCCTTTAAGCCCTTAAATACCATTTTAAGTTGATACAATGGTTTGTGCTGAGGCCAGCTAATGCTTAGAATAGGATTGGCACCACATACACTTTCGTTTGTGCTAAACATTGTCTTTTTGATTGGCATATGAATTGTAACCTATAATGACAAGTGTGTCCCAAATAAGAACAAGATTACAATGGAAGGACAAAGACTTTCTGGCTGGTGCAAACCTTTGTTAAAATCATTTAAAAAACACTCAAACTCATTACTTATCAAAATATGAATTATTTGGACCTGTATGAGCTCTGAAGGGATTGTAAAAACATATCATTTTGCAAACATTTTATAGTATAACAGCTGAAGAGAAGAGAACTTTTACTATTGGTGCTTCATTCCTTTATAATGGATGACAGCATCTTGAAATGAATCATGTCAGTTACAAGTTACTTATCACAATAAAGGTTTCATTAAGTAAACAACACAAACTTTTTTTCAGACAAAAACAAACTACTCTTTATTATCAGTCCAGTATAATGAACTGTTATACAGCCTTACCATGGATGTATGATTTTCATTGTCTTCATATTTAACCATACAAGAAACATCCAACATTGCCAAAAGACAGTAATTGCCATCTTCGTCTTTAACACTATAGTCTCCATCAACTGGAGGCTTGGTGGTAGGTTGGCTGGTAGGTTTGGTAGTTGGTTTGGGTGTGGGACTGGCTGATGAGGAGGGCATTGAAGATGTTGGACTTGGTGAAATTGAAGGTGATACTGATGCTGATGATGTCTCACTTGCAATTGTAGAAAATGTTGATGTAGAAGTTGCATTCGATTGCGATGGATTCATAGAATGTGAAGTTGTTGGTGACGGTTTAATCGAGGTTTTTTCAACGTCAGCTGAAGCTAAAAAATATATATAAAAAAATTAAAATATATATATATATAAAAATTAAATACCTTTTATCAATTATCTATAAAATATTTTTTTATTTCCCTTAAGAAGAACTCATTCAGCTTGAACAAAAACAATCAAGATGATGTCAAAAAATAAATGTATCTGAATTGGTATTATATTAACCCTTTGACTACTGTGACTTTTGAGAAAAATAAGGCATTTTTGATTTCCAATGTCCTCTTGACACGGTGTTTGCCATTTCTATGGAAACTCCTTGTTGTTTTGTAATACTGAAGGCTCATTATTCTTGCACAATGCTTTATTCGTTGGCGGAAAGAAATACAGATTTTTGCTGTTTTTTTTTAGCCTTTTTGTTTTTTTAGCCTTTTTGCCTATCCACTATTATACTGACATCATTAAGTTTGTAGGTAGCGAAGTAGCTTACCGTATTTACCCATGTATAAGCCGCACTTTTTTCCAAAAAAATTGTTCCCAAATCGGGGTGCGGCTTATCTACGAGAAGACTCGTAAAAATGCCCGAAAAAAACTAATTTGCATAAATTAGCATTCACGGTGCTACTTACTGCAGACAGGACGGCGAGAAACAGAAATTTTAATCCAAACTTCTCAGTATCACAATAAATGCTCCAAAAATCTCTCTGAGAAACACCAGTCAATAATTCACTGAAAACAAGTGCGTGGTTATTGAGCCAATGATCATGAACAGAGAGCATTTTGAATTGTTTTGTCTTGGAGTTGTTGTGGTAACGCGATGCTAATTTGGATCACGGAAATCGAGCAGCGGAAAAGCACTTTAAAATCAAAGAAAGCTGTGTTCGCAAGTAGCGATCAAAAAGAGAAAAGTTTATTTTCTGTCTTTTTTCCCCCCAAAAACGCCCCTAAAACTCGGGGTGCGGCTTATCTACGAGAGCGGCTTATAAATACGGTACTTGCTTAAAGAATCCAGCTTGTTCTGTAACATTTTAGGCAATTTTGTTTGAATAGGCGATTCGGTAAACTTAGTCCCCTGCTTAAAGAGTTTCACTTAAAAGACCATCTAAAGGCAAATTCTTGCCCAATACTTTTTGCAAGTTTTGGCTATCGAGGAACACAATGAAAGAGAAATTCCTAGGGCTTAAGTTGATACCAAAATTGCTTCAAATCTCAGTCACTACAGAAATAAACAATTTTTTTAAGGAGTAACATTTCTTACGGGTGGTTTTGGGCGCCGTAAGAGTCAAAGGGTTAACAACTTCATATTTAATCAACAGATTTTTCTCAAATAAGCTGCATATTAGCATAATATTTTAACCTATGTGCTTCCATATATGTAAGATAACAATGCGACTTGATACATATTGTATCATTCGTATCTTTGAGCCTGGGTTCAAAGGTTGAGACAAGTTATACACAGGGTTCCCATTAAGGCCCAGTTATACAGTCATTTACACAGTATGATTCCATCTTCAAGTCTAATCATGTAGAGCTTTGCAGAGAACTTCTAGAACTCAATGATTCATGAGCTATTAGTCCAATGAGCATCGAACTATTGGGTCACATGATGGGCCTTTATATCCAATAAATTACGGATGTTTTATTAATCAGTTCTATATCAGATATATAGAACTGATGTTTTATTAATGAGTTCTATATCAGATATAAAGAACTGATCAAGTTCATCAGCGCTTTATCGCAACACAACACTAGCAAAGGTCTCATTTTTAATGTCGCATTCAATTCTGCGGCTCAAATCTATATATCCTGATAAAACATGCACTCTCGTTCTATAAACAACACATAGAAGGTTCTAACGAAAACCATATGATATGGAGTTTTCACATAATCAGACTGATAAAACATGGATATTCAGAAGGAAAATACTCATTTATCTGCTGAAAAACACTTACAAACCAAGTGAACCGCAATCTAAAATCGTTATTTTATGGAAACAACATTATTGATGCCTCTCATGAGTGAATATTGCCATCAATAATCCAGACTCACAGTAACTTTTGCCTCTAGATCTTCATTGCAGCATTTTTTGAAATAGCTACATACTAGATCTTTTACAGCAAATACAATTTTCACCAAAATGGGTGCTATAAATTTTTCTTCCTTTTTTCAACCTTAGATATATAGCTGGCCTATCTGTGTAGGGTAGTTTAATAGCTGGCCTATCTGTGTAGGGTAGTTTAATAGCTGGCCTATCTGTGTGGGTAGTTTAATAATTGATGATTATGCAGTTCTTTCTTGCATGGTTGACTGATTTCTACTTTTGATGATGTACATTTCAAATCAAAAGAAATAGATTTCCATGAACAATTAGACAAAACAACAATTTCGAAAGAATGAACTCCATTGAATAACTTAGGTTTACAAGATTTCATATATCAAAAAGTCGTTTGAGCTATTTGCCGTTTCTTTCAGGCGTCGCTTTCGGAGTCTTGACTCTAGTTTAGGACCTTTAGTATCAGTTAAATCGAAAGCAATTGCACCAAATATATTGTAAGATTTGGCATACTGCTAAGTCAATAAGCTTAAGTATTCTGGTAAAATTGTTAAAAATTTGTCATCGAAGATCATGAAGATGTCTGGGAGAGGGACGAAGTTTCCATGTAACCTTATTTGAGATTGCATGCACCGAAAGAATCATTTTGATCAAACAATTACTGAACAGTTCACTATAAATGGTTGGCTAAATTCTTGAATTCATTGCTATGGGCAATCTTTGTTAGTTCCTCACATGCTTTGAACAAATCGTAGCATGGCTTGTTTGCAAATAAACTTCAGCTTAATTTGAATGCTACATTTACTTCAAAAAGCACATAAACTTCGAAAAAATTCTAAGAAAAGCAAGTACTTACCTAGGGTGATGGCTAGAACAAGAAGTAGTGATAAAAATCTCAACATTTCTGAACGTTTGAGTGACCAATGTAGAGAGTAGTGCACGATCTCACAAAATTCTAAGAGGAAAGACTTTACGCAAGTCTCAGTCATGTGACTGACACGGGTTGCATGACACGCATGCGTTAGAAGTAGAATGGTAAAGTCCGAGGGTAAGGGGCACGATTACGCCTTATACGGTTTCTCACCAACATTTGAGGCATTTGAGGGGTTCTTCATAACATCTTTTCAACAACCTTGGCAAAAGAAAAAAAATACATTTTAAGAGACAATAAGGAACTTGGCGGAAATTCTGGGAGGGGGGTATTACCTCTCCAACTTGGGTGGGGGTGTGCCGCGCGACCCTCAGAACCCCTACCCTATTCCAGACCAATTTTTATGATTTTACATACCCTACCCCAGACTTAAGGTACACATAAAAACGAAAATGACTGACAGATTACTATTTTAGCAATATACAATCACAGGCAGAATGCCACCCTAGCCACAGAAAATGAGAGTATACTCTACCAGGAGCCCATTACTGACCCTACACTAGACAAAAAAAAAACACCCTTTCCCAGACAAATGGGCAAAAAATTATACCCTTTTCCAGACTTGGAGCTCCGAAAAAGAGAACACTTTCTTGCGGCACATACCCGTATAGCAAATATAGGGTAGAACCCTCCCCCCTCCCCCCCCCCCGTGCGAAATTAGGAAGTGAATAAAGTGAAACAGATTTCACCTTTTTAAATTCAACTTTACAACCATCCAACCTGGGCACATTGTTTTCTTTTGATCTCTTTTGTGCCATCACTTTATGATTGGATTTTGTTTCACAGGTTTTAAACTCTAGTAATCATCCTGTAAAGCCAACGCACTTATCCATGAAATTTTAAGTACAAAATACGACTAAATCATGTTAATTATTTTGTTTTTCTATTCTAACACTCTTTAGTAGAGGTACTGTTTGTTTCACGGATCAAGTGCGTCCACTCACCGTGCGAATGTTGAGCTCCCTGTGTACTGATATACCATGTGGACTGGTACGAGTTGATGACAAACAAGAAGAGCACGTAAAGATGGCGGGACCAGCTATGAATGCTGCTTGTCTTACATACGAGGGCATTAACGTTGAAGTTGAGACATTTCCAAGGACAAAAGACGACGTGTGGCTACTGGGAAAACATTACAACCTTGATGAAGGTATTTCACATATGGTTTCTCAGATCATATAAGATAAAACTGAAAGCAAAAAATAGTTTTGAAATGAGCTCGTTGTTGTTTTTCTTTTGCTTTTCTTTCGTAATTTTCTCGTCAAGGGTATCCTTAGATTATATAGAACGTCATTCGCAAGAGAACATATTTATTTCTTCGTATTGATGTTTTATAAGAATCATTTCGATGCAAAAGAATTTGAAGTTGAAATGTTGATAAGCTTAAATCCTCAAATGTTTTGTTATGATGCCATATTTCGACATGCATTAGTTTTAATTTTTGCTGATTATTAAGCTTATTTATTTTTCTACAACAAGGTATTTTTTAAATTTATTGATGAAAATGTTCCATTCGATGTATGGCTATAGCATGTCATTCTTTCTTGACTTCAGGTGCAATTTAATTCAAGCTAAACTACATGTAGCTCATCTATATACCATTAATGATAACAACTTATTCACACTCACATATATATTTTTAGGGACTGTTCATCAATTATTGCGAAGAGGGGGGAGGTGTTAAGTTTGTTTAAAGCAGCAAGTCAAAAATGTACCCTCCTAAAATAAAAAAAAAAAGATTAAACATTGCTCCCCCAAATATGGTTCTTTGGCAAAAAAAAATCGGCCCCTACTAATTATTTTACTGAAGAAAAATTTACCCTGTATTAACAGTTTGTTTTGCCCTCTCTTGGCAATAATTATCAATATACTATTTCAAACTGAGAAGTGATTTTTCCATTTCCTCAGGGAATAAAGTATAGTACAATTGCTTTTCATTTCAGGAGATTTGCATTACCTTAATAATGATATAAGGACCAGGTTGTGGTTTACATATAGGAAGAACTTTCCCAATATAGGTAATTGGTTATGTTTAGAATGACTTGTTTAAATCATGTTCATGAATGTGTAAAATATGTAAATAAATATGCTCAAAGATGATTTTTTTTAAAGGTGGAACAGGCCCCACAACAGATTCAGGATGGGGGTGTATGTTACGATGTGGTCAAATGATGTTGGCACAGGCATTAATATGTAGACATTTAGGACGAGGTATTATATACTGAAATTTTGTGTTGATTTGCTTATGACTAAACTTTCCAAATTCATGAATGATTAATTAATGAAAATACAACAAAGAAAGATTGCCATAAAAGTATTCATGGTTTGTATGTCAATAAATCCTGGTTGACACAATCAAAGCAATTGCATATGCAAGTAAACACTATTGTAAGAAAATGAAAAAAAAGTTTATTCCTTGTATTTGCATTCCAATTATTGTGTTATATTTGAATGGAGGGCTATATCCAGTATAACCTTTTTAGTCGTTAACATTTAGAAATCAGGTTATACCATATTATACATGTTTTCCACTATTATTTTCTGATTAGATTGGAGGTGGGATCCAGATGTGCCTCGTGAACAAAGATATACCCAGGTTTGTTATAGAGAGGCTCATTAAAGAAAAAGTTTCCATGTTTGCATGCCTATAGCATAACTACCTACTCTATTTACTAGGCATAATGTTATTGCATTTTTGCTTGACTGTTTTGCAAGCTTTTTTCAAAATAAGGAATTAGCATTAGATATTTTTTCTAAAATTTTGTTTGAGATGTCCCAAATATGCAACAGAAATTGTGAGGGGAAAGGTAAAATCAGTTTCTTGAAGCACTTTTCTTGTTTCTCTTGCTAGCTTGGGCAACTGATATGGAATAGTTGAGTAGTTTGCTATATTCTCTTTGTATATCATTAATCATCTTCTGTGGGAATGTGTGGACAGTTAGAATAGTATTGTAGCTTGCACACAAGGACAATTGCGACCTCCCTCCAGTTATTGCTGACATTTTAATAATGTAAAGGTTTTGAATTATTGCTCTTTTTTCAGATATTACAAGCATTCTTAGACAAAAAAGATAGTTTATATTCCTTGCATCAAATAGGTAGGTAAAAGAGATACTTTTACCATGTTTACTGATGGTAAGACAATAATAAACATGTCTACAGAATAATATTGAACAGTATGTATATTTTATTCTGGTTGAAGGTAAAAGAAATGAAGTTGTTAAAACATTCATGGGAAACAGATAAATCAAGAATACCAAAAACCTCAGATGATTCCTTTTATTCTTACATCAATTTTTACCTTTAAACTATGTGTCAATTAATATTTTGCAAGATGTTTTTATCTAATGATCTTTTTACGTAGGCTACTTGTTTCAATAATTGAATTATATATACATGTTCTGAGTTTATGCTAAAGTAAGTTTGTTGTTTTCAGCTCAAATGGGAGTATCAGAAGGAAAGCCAGTTGGCAGCTGGTTTGGACCTAACACTGTAGTGCAAGTCATTAAGTAAGTCATCAGATAATTAATTATCAAAACATTTAGAACACTAAAATGATAAACATTTCTGTCAAGTGTTCACTCCTCCTCATTGCAGTTTCTTGGACACCTACATGTATATCAATAGGGAAGTGGTTTGTTTTGAATTCAAGAGATTTCACTGCACACAATGGAAATCGTATTTTGTTGATCTTTGATCCTTCACAAGTAAATAATCTTATAAACATTTGTTGCACCTTAGGAAGCTGTCAGCATTTGATGACTGGAGTGGGCTGTCAGTACATGTTGCTATGGACAACACCATCATCATTGAAGACATAAGTAAGATTAAACTTTATGAAAACAGTATAAATTCATTTTTGTATTATGGATATTTCCAGATTGAAATAAAAATAATTAACAGGTAATTAACTGTAATTAACAGTAATCATTAATGTATCCATTCTCATGAGCAATTTAAACTCCAAATAACCTTATAGAAACTAGTTTTGAATTCCTTGTGAAACTAATGCAAATAGCATGTACAAAATCTATTGAATGAACTCATTTCATTTATTACACTCTCTTATTATTCTATTTACTTCCAGAAAAACTCTGTAAGCAAGGACAACCACGCAAGTCCTGTGGTCAGTCTACATGCTATGACTGTACAGATGCACACCGTGTAGAAGAGTCTTTACGGAGGAGAGGGTTAAAAAGCCCAGCAAGTAAAGCCAATCAAGTTAAAACACACACTTGTAAATCTTCCTGGAGACCTTTAGTTTTATTTCTACCTCTAAGGCTTGGGCTTTCTGAAATGAACCCTGTTTACAGTGAACCATTTAAGGTACTTCTTTGTAACAAGTTGAATATCAAAAACATTTTTATATTAGTTTCTCATGGTGTATCTAAGACAGCAATAAACTGTTATTTCAGGCTTGTTTCACCTTTAGACAGTCTCTTGGGGTTATTGGTGGCAAACCTAATCATGCTACATATTTTATAGGATATTATGGTAAGCAATGAGAGAAACTCTGTTAATACAAATTATAACTGAGATCAAGGGCATCTTTTCAGGAATTCAGGAGGTGTAGGGGTATGTTGAGATATGTGTGTGTGTGGAGGGAGGGAGAGGAGAGGGGAGGATGTTGAGATGTGATGGGGTGGGGGAGAAGAAGAGGTGGAATTTGGAGGTACTTCTTTTGTTCTATCTAGAGCATGAGTTAGGTGTAAATGAAGAATACTAACTTAACAAAAGATACTATCTAAAATACACTAAAGAATTATACTAACTTGTTGTCTATTATTTTAGGAAATAATTTGTTGTATTTAGACCCACATTCTACTCAACCAACAATAAATCCACAAGAAATGACTAACATCCCTGATGGTGTAAGTGTACAAGTTATAATTTATTTAACAAATACGATTTACAGCTTCCTGATGCTTTACACATTTTCTTTTCAGACATATCATTGCGTGTACCCATGTAGGATGTCTCTCACTGAAGTAGACCCATCTGTTGCTATGGTAACTTTTGAATAACAAAGATATTTGATTTCAATATGCTGTTCTATGTTTATTTGATCGTTTGCATACAAATATCTATCTATTTTGTATTTTTTAACTCTGCCAGTGTTAGTTCCATATACATTAACAATGATATCTTTATTTTAGGGCTTTTTTTGTAAAAGTGAAGAAGACTTTGATGATTTATGTCAACAGTTCAAAAAGGTATTCCTTACAATTCATTACTTCAGATTCCAGATCTATTTAGCTCAGGCAGTTAAGTATCACTATGTATAAAATATTCAAAAGGTACAAATGAATCCCATGAGGTCTATAACTATTTTTTTTCATCCGGTGTCCTAGTCTTTCGTGCACTGTGATTGGCTAGCACGCAGTCCGGTTTTTCACAATTTGCCTGGTCCACGGTATCCTGCAGCTAGGCTGCGAGCAAAATACAAATAAAAAATAAAATGTTATTTACAGGCTATAGGTCAGTCTGTATAGGAAAAACTGCCCTCAGTCTTTTATGTATGGACCTCACTGTGCTCGTTTGTACTGTCAAGACCTTGGACATTGTTTTCCTATATGGACCTCCAAGCCGATAAATAACATATATATATATTGTCTTTGTAACACACAAAAGTCTTGTATAAGTCACCAATGAAATAGCAATAATCATTGTATAACTTTGAAGCTTACATGTAGTTTGAACAAAATACAACTGGTCCATTCTGAAAATAATAGACCAATTCTACATTCGCTTGGATGAACACGAAACAATCACTTCATTTTGAGGCTGGAGTTTTCAACAAAAGATAAAACTCCAGTCTCGAAATGAAACCATTGTTTCGTGTTCATCCAAGCGAATGCGGGATTGGTCTATTCTGAAAAAAATATCATTTATTGAGATGTCCTAAAGAGCCGATTGGCCTTATGTATGAGTGAAATTCATGGAGTTTCAGTAGAACGTGCAAAATGGACTCCAAAATTCACATGCATAGAAAATCTGGTGTTCTTATTCGTTTTGATAATCAATCCATATGTACTTTAATCATGTTATTTGTTTTATAGCATATTATAGAAGGCAAAAGACGTCCAATGTTTGAATTAGCTGCAAAAAGACCTCCACATTGGCCCGTCCTTGAGCTGCCATCTCACCAAACAGATGAACTAAACAGTAGTTGTCAATCAGGTCTTGTGATAAGTATTTACCTATTATCATCTATAAATAAACTCAAGTAATTATTATATCATTAGGCGAATACCAATCAAACATTATATAGTGCAAACACAAAAATCATGAAATAGGGGACTAATTAAAACAATGTCACTGAATTAATTATACAAATTTCTTGTTTAACAGTATTTAAAAGCACTATTCAGTTAATATTATTTCACATATTTTAGTGTTTGCACTCTATTAGGCTTGGTAGAAATGTTGTAACCATACCTTAAATCTATTGAGGATGGTATGTGAATTGCTGAAACATGTCTGGCTCTATAATTCTCACTGTGTAATACATCAATGTAAAATGATGTTTTTGAGCTAGGCAAGTTTATGTTGGGTAACGTGATCATTGATGTGGTAGATATTTTATGTAATGGCCCAAGTAGGGATGTCATAGTTATCAAAATATGGTTTAAACATAACTAGTTGCTGGCAAGTGGTTTACTGGTTGTTTTTCGTCACAGATTTCACAGAGCTGTCCTATGAAGAAGAAGAGGAAAGGGAGTATGACACAGAAGGAGAATATGAAATAATATAAAGAACTAAAAATGCTTGCACATTTTATTGGTTTTATAATTTACAGTGGTAAAATTTAGAGTAGAACATACCACTTTTGAATATTGAAAATCACAGTTGAATTTATTTTCTGCAGCAACAAAAAATAATTCAAGAATTTTAAACGTTAGGGAGGGAGGAATTGCACCAATGGTATTATGAACAAAAGAACACTTTGGGATTCCTGTGGAAATTGGCAACAGGAAAAACAAAAACAAAAACAAACAAACGGGAAAGTGGAGCATCTTGTCGAGATATTTCTCTTCCGGCCAAGGAGCCCAATGCGAAATACTTCAATTGAGATTTATAATTGATATAGATTTTTGTAAGATGTAAATAATGAATTGAAATTTATGGAGAAATTAAAAGTCATCCTAAATTACCAATGTGACTTTGTTTGAAAACCTAGTGCATGCAATGAGAGTCCAAGGAAATGATTGAACGAAACCCGTTCTAATTCCTTCACTTCCAGTTAACCCACACGGTAAAACCGAGAAAAACATCGAAAGCGCGCACATTTTATTTTTCTAAGTTTGATCCTATTTCAAATAATGACAACGCCCTCTCGTAAAACGGACATGCCCGTACCCATTTCTGGTACTCGGTTTAGGACCAACGTACATGTGTTGGTAGATGATTGTTCAGTATGGCAATAGTTCATCAGTCAGGTTTTCTTCTGGAGACCTATTCTAATACACCGAGAGCAGTGATGAAAGCTCGATAAAAGCTGTGAATCATATACCAGCACAAAAAACATTTCCATTTATAGATTCGGGATGAATTTGAAAAATCTGGATTATCATTTAAAAATATATATACATGTCATTAGGATGTTATAAGATGTTACTACAGAATTAAAAACACATCAGGAAGAAGTAGAATGAAATATGCTAGGTCATCTTTTCTTCATCGTGTTGCACTCGGTAAAATTTGGCGGGCATCATTTGCGGGCCAAGTTCTCTTATGTCATCAATCATCAACTGACATCACCCAACTTTGTTTTCGTTAATCTTAACTTGATGTGTGTTTTGAGTCTAAACATTTCAGACTGAAAAATGGATTGAGACACTTTGCAAAACACAGCAAAGAAGGTCACTACTTGTACAGGAAATCATTGGAGGCCGAGACGCGAAAGTTTATCTCAGCTAATCTTAGAAACTTCACAAGTACTTGAACTGAATAATCCCGATAAACTTTGCCTGCCAACAGTTGGTGCCTCTTGTAATCCTTGGTACCCGCAAAAGATTCCAGTAGTAAACTAAAAGATATTTTGAAGTCCGTGACTTTTTTACTCAAAACTGTCGTTTTTGATGTCAATATTTGCATTTCTCTTCAATAATAAAGTCCCTTGCTGATTATCACTCGGTAATCATCACTGGCTGCAGAAAAATAATTACGTAAATCTCAGTTGACTAATTTAACTAGATAAAGACAGAGAAGTTAGTTTATTCAATATCTATATATAAAACATTTTACAAATAATATGTATTTTAACTTTAACAATCAATTTATCATTGGTAATACTGGTATCATTGAGTGATAAATTTGTCCTTAAATCCTTTTATTAATCTTGTATGAAATAATATGTATGTCTTCATTTCTTTCTAATATTCGCAATTGCTTATAATTATGATATAAAATTATAATCATTCCCAATAATTACTAAAGTTCAAGTCCTTTGCTATCAAGTTAGTTATTATGAATGAGATTCCGTCTTTATAACAGTTGTGTGTTGGGTTGTATTCTTAAAGATACCAGCGTTGTTAATCCAGTTATATGTTCTTGCTTTATGAACTGTTCCTAAACCTTTCGATGGAACGTTTTCACTTGTATTATCATTATTATTATCGACAGTCTTACTATGTGCTTTTAGATGCTTCCTTAAAGAGCTTGGATGCGTATAACTCTTCTCGCAGCCATTAATACGACAAACATATGGTTTGTCTGAAGTATGAACATGAGAATGCTTCTTCCTGTCGCTGGAGTTAGCAAACCGCCTCTTACAACCTTCAAACTCACAAACAAAGGGTTTTTCGCCAGTGTGGGTTCGTTTGTGTATCTTGAGGTTTTCTGATCGAGCAAAGAGTTTGCCACAGTTCGCGAAGGGACACTCAAAAGGCTTCTCTCCTGTATGCACGCGAACATGGTTCACGAGTTTGTATTTAGCTTTGAAAGGTTTTCCATTGCGGTCACAGTTTAACCAACAGCAGACGTGAAGGGAATTCTCGCTAGCATTGCTGACATGCTCGACGGAGATATGCTTAACAAGCTCCAACAGACCTCCAAATACTTCATCACAAGGTTCACCTTTCTTTTCATTGATCCATTTGCAAATATGTTCCTGTTTGACGACAGGACGCATGAAGCGGAGAAAGGCGCTGCTTGACTTCAAATCGACTGTTTGTATTGGTGTGCCATGTGGATTTTTTGCTAACAACTGAACTGTAGGTGGGCTGTGTCGCGTTGGAGTTGTATCAACTTTAGCATCGTCACTGTTGGAGCTCTTCTCATTTAAGTTATCTCTCGGTGGCGATTCGACTTTCGTCTGACTGTGAACGCTGCTTGGACTCGTCGACATGTGGTCGGTATGCTCTGTCCTAGAGTCATTAGAATACAAGGCCAAGTTGGGATGACTTATCGTACTTGTACCAGGAGAAAGAGGAGTAACACTTGGCATTACAGCAGCAGACACGGCCGTCACAGCTTGCTGTAGGACAGGGTAGTTTTGTTGGTAAGTAACGCCACTAGCTAACGTTGCGGTCACATCAGAGTGAAACTGCGCTGGTTGTTGCGGCACGCCAAACGGGATAGCACAATGATCGCGTCGAAGGAGAAAATCTCTAGCAGCAAATATTGGATTTGTAGCATTTGATACGCAAGGGTAATTAGACGTAAGATTGTAGACCCCTTGCGAACTTGGTAGGCTACTTGAACCAGAGTATTGATCAACCATGACACTTTGGTTTGGACGCAATCCTGGAATATGGTGCGGAGGCTGCTGGGCTGGTACCTCAGGATATGTATAACTTGTAGGATAGGTACTCTCGTTCGTCCACTCACTCATATCTGCGGTCATTACAGTACCTCTTGGTACTTGAGTAAATGCAGAATAACTTGCGTTATGAGATGGTGACAGATAGTCGAAAATACTGGCCATGTTCAATTCCACCGTCACTAAACGTTACTAGGTTATTCTCGATCAAATGAGCAGTTTAGTTTTATAATTCGAGTGAAAACCTGTTGCACTTGTGAAGAACTCACAACAGTTTGTCATTGGCCAGGATGTTTGACTGACAGAACGAACCGCTTACGTAGCCAATCAAACGCCTGTAAAAGCTTATTTTGATTCTCGAGCACATCTGATGTCCAAAGCGGAAAACAATGATTCTTTAATGGATTTCACATTTGCACACCTCGGGATAAAACAGTTGCCGAAATGGTCGAACGCCTTCAGCATCTGGATATCAACGTCACACAAATCGCTTGTTGAACAAGTTCGCAAACACTGGAGTAGTTTGAGATTGTCCCTGTTATCTGTGGTGCACTGTTTGCATAATTTGTTATTTCTCTAGATAGGGGGTTTCTTTACGCACTTGATGATAGGCTAGCCAATGACACATTGTGATAAGTGAGATTTGCTATTGCCATCTCTCTGTCAAGAATAGGTGTGACCTACTGACACTAAACAATACCAACCACTACTTACAATCTACGTGGGATGATTAAATCAGAATTCATTGCTCATAAGAAACCAATGTAAATTCCACTAGTTTTTAGCAGTAACAAGGTGACTTATTTCTGTCAGTGATCACATTCTCATTATGCTATACCTGACACTTCCGGTGTGGAAACGTTTCCGGCTTTGAAACATTTAAAACTGAAGCTGTATGGATTGAAAATATTGTCACAGTTGATGACTCAGAAAAGATTAACAGGCAGAGCTGCTTTACTTTGTATCCAAGTCACTTTTTAATGATCATTTCCGACATTTTTGAAACTAATCGGAAATTGTCACTGAAACTGAACGAAGCTGGCAATGATCGATTTCTTTGGTGAATTTCGTGTTATTTACAGGGAAAACAATTCTATGTGAACCTTTTGCTAACAAAAGTGTGTACATCTTGTTGGTTAAAGTAATCTCGACCACCGTAGATGTAAGGAGGAAGTTTTATTTAGTCTTGAGTTTATAGTCTTTGTTTATGTTGTGACCTGAGCACGATTAAGTCGTCAATCGATTGATCTCCCATGGAGTCATCTGACCAACGTGTCATGTCACGTTTGAGATTGTTGCCTCAAAAGCACGTGGCACTTAACTGTCTCCTAGGAGTTACACGACCATTACGATCATCATGGGTTGGTCCTAACCTTAGCTTTATTCCTTTTATTGGTACTTTTTATTTTTTTTTTCAGTTTAGAGTAAAAACGCATCATTGCATAACATGGAAACACCTGACTGGCCTCAACCCAACCCACATACAAATAATAGGCTTAAAAACCTTGACGGAACTTCAGACAGCATATTAATTGAATTTCCCTTTATTAACACACAATATTATTCACACTAAAACATTTAAATTTCCCGTTTATCTGTCTAGAAAAATCGCGCGCTAACGATCCCAAGCACGTTTTTACATCACTTTCTGTAGTTTTTTGATGATTAAAATGGATAAATTTGTGTCTGGATGTCAAGGTCATGTTACAAATTGTTTCAATACGTTACTCTACTCAACGTTTTCGGGCACAAAGGTTATACCGATACAGACCGTTATCTAGAACATGATGGTGGTCCACTTGACAACCAATTGTTTGGATCTACAATTCTTGCGATCTAGTCATAAACATTTGATTTCACCTTCTCAAGTATAATGCCAAGGCAAGCATTTTCATAAATGAAGACAGTCCAAAATTTTTGAAGCCTATTCAAAAGTAGAGTGCACCCAATTAAAGAAATGCTTCTCTAGCTATATAGCAAGTTATGAAAGGCCTAAAACACTTCCATCGCCTTAATACAGAATTAAAAGAGAAACAATTTACCCGTTTAGCAGTGATCTTCGATCTCTGCAACCCAAAGATACTATGTGACCATTAGCACTTTGCTTCAATGAATGTTCGTAAAAAAAACCCAACCCTCGCTGTCCTGTTGTTACATACACACTTATTTTCAACAAAGACTATAGTTCGCCATTTATTAAAGTAAGAAGGCAGAGACATTACTTTCATCTGTTAATTTGATTGGTCAAAAACAAGAGCTTGTGTCTTGTTGTCAAGTGTTTTTCGATATCCCGACTAACTCGGACCAAATGCTTTCAAATAAGAACCACCGAAAGTGGCTATTTTCTTTCTTTATTACAACCGTACGGACAAAAGTACAAACACATTGAAACCAGTGCTAAACTTCACGTTTTTGTAGGCATTGCCATGTGTTTTTGGTTTAAAATCCTTGTAGCCTCAAGGAACATAGAGATAAATAGGCCACAACATAGCTTTAGTTGATTAAAGAAGGCTGCCTTGACCAATAAAAAGGACCGCAACGGGAACGTAAAGACGTGCTTACGGGAACGTAAGTCGAATTCAATTCGCATGCAACTTGCCTAAGTCATCCTTACAACATGGCTACAACTGTCGTGGTGATTCAAAATAATTGTTGAATAGCCCTACGATAGTTTACACTTGCGATTTTTGCAGAGCGATTCTCGCGGCGATCGTCGCCCGAGTTTCGAACATGCTTGAAAATTGGCTGCAACTTCGCGGCGATTTTCCATCGTCGCAACAATCGCAGGGCTGTTAAGTTGCGCGATAGCAAAATGGCGATTATCGCGACGCAAGTGTAAAAGGGCATTAGACATGTTACATTAATGGTTGTAGACAAAAGTTATACTCTCTTGAAATGTTAGAATTAATTAGAGGTCAGCCTCCCATTTTACAATCTGATACAATCTACCTTTTTATCAAAATGCTAAAGATTGTTTGTTATTCTGAGATGTAATCTTCAAAAGGGCCTGGGTCCAGTGGATTCAGGCTTGGGGTCCTTGGCCAGGCTTTCTAGTTTTTTGTGTGAAGTTTAAATTTACTGATCCAATTAAAAATGATTTTTTCATATATCCATTCACTCTTCCATCCCTTGAGGGTTGGGAAAGTTTAGTACATGTTTCGAAAGCTTTGTTAGAAATCTTTGTTAGTAATCTGCAAAATGACGATTCAGCATCTGCCAGATCATGGTGGATAGAATGACGTCATTGACTGCGTATGTTATGACAATGGAACCCTGCCCTAGTCTCCTCTCGCAGCCATTAGAACGTTTGTTGACCTGGGACCGAACGTCCTAACAGCTAGGGAGGAGTGACCTAGGAACAAACATCCTAATGCCTGCGAGAGGAGACTAACCCTGTCCAGGCCTGCCCAAAAACAGTGAATTGAAAACATTGAAATGCATAAAGTATTGCTATTTAAATAATTCTTGGAGTCATCATTCTGTATCAAACAAAATCTGCCCCACATCAACCTGACATCTACGTGACCTCGACATGAGGTCAGTCAAGCAAGGAATTATTCAATCAATCATTCATTCACTTCAGTTAGTCAGGTCCAGCAAGCTTCAGTGCACTAGTAACACACCCGAACGTTGATGTCACTCAATGGCAAGCATATTATATTTCACTGATTTATGGAAGGCCTGGACTGTTTTTCTTTTGTTGATGTAAATGATGAAATTGAAATTATGTGTTTCATAGTTTATAGTTGTGGCCATGTCCACAATTCCTTCAAAAGTTCATTATTATTAATCACTGACTTCTGTACAATATCAACAGCGTCTTTTATTTCTTGATGAATTTTTTCAATACTCTGAGTGGCATCAATCACCTGAAGACGCAAAAATGTTGACATCACCCATATTTTACATACAATTAATTATATGCATGCAAGTAATATGTAAATGTGATCTAGGACTTTATAGATACCAAAAAATTTGTTACCTTTCCAAAAAAATCAATTTCATATCAATGCAAGATTACAATTGTAATATACACTTTGAATCTTACCTTCCAATCTTTTGTTATCAATTCTTGGTATTTTTTACTGACTTTCTCCTGGAATTCACTGTTTTCATAGCGTTCTTCACCAAATTCTGATCTTTTAGAAGCTTTTTCTGTAGATATATCTAAGTATACAGTCAGATCTGGTAATGGTAGTCCTCGTTCAGGATTCATACACCAGGTTGTGTCATATCCCTACAAAACAATCATTGTCTATAACACAGCCTACACACAATGAAAAATCCTTAAAATATAATTTAACGCCAGATGAACTAAGCAATTAATCTGCCTAGGATTTTTCATAGTCTCCTGTTTTCATAGTCTTCTGTCACTGCATGAAGACCAAAAGCCAAGCAGAAGGCTATGTAAGCGTCAAGCAAACTTCCAGGAAACTTTTTTCTTTTGTAATGGTCACATTGACTGTTAGGGGCTAGGAACTTTCAGAAGTAATCTTTTGTCCTTTATCCTCACTCCCAGGAAAAACATCCCTGGGAATTGAGTCTTCTGGAATCATCTTTCCTGATTGATCAATCACTTATATTAGGAATTATCCTCACCTTTGCAGCAGTAAAAGCCACTCCAGAGAAAGCATACCGGTCTGTAATAATACATGTTCCACTGTGCAACAACCTTTTCATTTTAGGACTGAATATTGTATATATCAAAATATTAGTATAATCTTTTTCCTAAATAACATATTTCAAAATACATAAATAGATCTTACACAGCTTCCCATCTATTGGCAGAAAATAATAGATGTATGGCGTGGTCTTCGAGGTCTGATGTCCCTTGAAGGTAGGAATCAATACATTTTCCTATGGCTGTGCTGCGATCTATCAATAAGAACAGAACACTTTACATACCAGATACCAATGGTAGTAATTATCTAATTATGATTCTTAACTACTTAATGTACATTTAAAATACCTGGGAATCGAAAATGTTCAACAGCTCTTCCCAATGACTTGATGTATTCAACTAAAAGCTTAGCTTGCGTCGATTTTCCGGCCCGATCACATCCTTCAATGCATACAAACAGTCCTCTAGATTTAAACGAACTCATCTTGAAATGGATATGCTATCTGTATACTTGAAATAAGGGTTATTAATTTGTAAATTGAACGAATAAAAATTCGAAACTTGGCGGCAAAATACCTCGATAAGATGTCTCCAAATTATACTAGTACCCAGTGATGCTCTGTCAAATGCATTTGATGTGACGTCATGTTTTTTTTTTCTGAAGCCATCCATATGGACAGATGTTTATATTTTTTTAGATCATTCTGTATTTTTTGACTGGCAAATGTTTTAGAAACGGTCGTTCAAAATGACATACTGGACGTTTCAATGAAATGCTGGGAAAGACAAATGTCAAACACAGGGAGCCCAATAGTATTTCCCATCCCGAAACACAAACTGCAAAACAGGAACGAAACAAATCCGAAAACAAGACAAAAAGGTTAATTAACAAATTAGCAAGTTCAAAATCGCAATAGAACGTTAGTTACATTGTGAATAATACAGAACTTACAAGGATCTTCATAACAACACAGGACAATGTTAAATAATTATTTAAGTTATAAGTTAATTACATAATTTCACAGCATATAACCGCGGCTACGTAAGCTTATACATTGTGAAGTACATATAAAAGTTAAATTTGGAAAAATGTATCATCATCTCATGACGAGTGTCCTTTGAGTCTATATAAAACTTGACCCTCAAAGCTGCACACAGAGTTTATCTTGTCGTGATGTGATCACACAACTTCAGTTCCACCTATAACGTTAATAGTATTCGGTCATGAGATCATTGGGTATCATCATTTATGTAGCCACAGTAATCCAACAATAGTTCAAATCAATGCTTGCTAGCTGTTGTATAAACGTAAGCGACGATTAATCCAAAGACTCCCAATAGGACAGGTATCGCAATGGTCAAAGCTCTGCTCTTTCCTTCCATATTGTTCTTTTTTCGCTCTCTTTTCATCTTGCGTGTCTCCTTCGCTGCTTTTCCGGGAAGTTGCCTCATCTTTAAGTTTCAATCGTGCGAATTTGATGCGAAACAATTAGTATGAAGACTTGTTGTGGATAGTTCTTTTCCTCTTTTAAAACGGGTCACGCTTCAATACAGACACGTCATTGTTATGGTCCAGCTGAAATAACACACCAGCCTGCTACGTGTTCTTGTCCCACCACACCGATTTTTGAAATGCGCGCGTTTCTTGTCTATAATATGCAAACTCAATATTCGATGCATTTGAAAAAATTACAATCAAATTCAAGAGTAGATTGCTGGAAATTCAGTTCGATATGATACCATGGATATATTACTGATGAACGCTATTTTCCCATTTTGATATAAGTCAATATTTTACAAACGAAAATACCTCAATTATTTTGTTAAGTAACAAAATAATTGAGGTATTTTCGTTTGTAAATGACATGGAATGGCATATGTTAACAATCATGGAGATTTTTATCTTCTTTTAAAATGGAGGAAAACAGACACTATTTAAATGATTGCTATTAACTTTATTGTTACAAATGCTTTCAAATCTGTATGCATTAAAAGGTGGTTCCTGTTGATCCAATGACAATCACTGGATCATTGCCAACAGGCTTGAAAGAGGTTGTCCACAACTCATTGGAAAATACCACTGAAATGTAGAGAAAAAAAAACAATAAATAAACATCAACAACAACAACAACAACAACAATAATAAAAAGAGCTACATCAGAGGGCTAGCAATTGTAGACAACATTATGGAGTATTATTAATTTAATAAAGGTATGTTTTACTTTCCTGATGAATAAGTAGCACTTTATTCAGAGTGTACAAACTGCCAATTTTCCTGATATTATTTTACTTACAAGAATCCCCAGGTTTCATCATAACCATAAGATCTTTGCAAGCAGTTTCACATGTTGGATCAGGTCTTAATATGATTCTGCCTTGCCCAGTGATCTAATAACAATATAGGTTGATAAGTTGTGAAAAAAAATAGTAAAAATGGTCTGGATAAACCAATGCAATGCAATTTAGATACAGTCTAATTCACTCCATTCAATCAAAATTGTTTCCTGTCTTATGTCATCGCATCATTCTATCATTCATTCTTTCCCCATATTATCCTATCTCAACCTTTTGTATCTCATTCTATTTTTTCTGATCTACTTGATCTTATCCTATCTCACCTAGCATTACATTTCCTTTTTAATTGTGAATGATATTTTAACTCTACCTGAGAAAGCCATGATACAGTTGTTTGCCAAAAAACCTAAAAAACAAACATGCAGATGTCACTGTTGAAACTGCATAAAGGACTCACTAATTAAAAGTTCTCAACTGAATGGATATCCACATATTTCATATCTCAATCAGTGTTTTGAGCTTGTCTCTACTTCAAGATTTATTCAAACAAAATCATGACTAGCAAGCAAAATGGAAGAACCCAAATGAGGTTTTCAGGAGGTGCCATTACCCTCTCAGCCCCTACCACTCCCTGGTAGACAGGGTAACATAAACATACTACAAACAAAAAATAAAACAGATTTAATGGCTAGGGGCTAGTTATATGAAGGGTGCATCAAATAAATCCTTAGAAAATTTCTGATTTACACCATGACATTTTGATCACATTACCTTCAGCGTCTTTGACCCACCAGAAGAAACAATTAAAAAGTTTCCTTCATCGGATTCAACCATTGGAGGCAAGAAGTATGGCCGTCGGTAGAACTGCCTGAACACCTTTGCTCCTTCTTTACCACAGTTTTCCCTGATAAAATTGCATTTAAATTTATTTAATCAAATTTTCTTTTCATAGGATGAGGTTCCTGTAGTAAATTTATAGACGTTAATCTTGTACCCAGAATATACACTATTCTGGTGATAACAACAAGGTGAAAACATGCCGTACATATGACACTAACCAGTAGGTTTGATAGCTTCCCTGTATTTTGCCTTGCATGAGGTCTGATAAGAATGGTCCAGGCTTAGAATACCCTTCTAAAGTGGACTGGAACTGACAGACAGCAGCATTTTTTAGAGTTGAAGTTTCATGGAACATCTGAAAGATAACAGGCAATGGATACATGTCTGGTTTGACTGACATACATTGAAGGTAGCTTGAGGYAATGGATTGTGTCAATTGTTTTATTACATAGCAGTTAGCTGCTAAATGTTATGCATTTATTAAAACTGATGATTTTGACATTAAAAAACAAACAACAAAATAAGTAGGTAAATTACCTTAGCTATAAACTCAATACTAAACTCCTTTCTTGCTCTCCAGTTCTCTGTGGCATCYGTGATGACCACAGGTCTCTGGTTCGTCAAATAATCAGTCATATCCGAGTGATCTGCATTATCTATTCTGTCAATCTTCCTCAGGTCTCCACATTTTGACACGCACTCTTCCTCTGTTATGGCTTCTTGAACACTGTATGGGTTGTCGATAAGGCAATCTTTTTCATAGATGTATCTCCAATCCCAATATGGCAAAATCTGATTTCAAAACAAAATAACACAATAAATTAGGAATTGTTTATGTTTATTATTATCATGATAGTTTGTCGTCAAATTTGCTCTGCCTCATTCACCAATTCATGATGTATTCATCATATTTGGTTCACTTGCATGGGATTCATGTGTTTTGAACGAAGTGTTTATGAATTTCATATCACTGCCTTAATTTTTGTGTGACATTAACACAGACTAAAACTAGTTTATATGATGATACTACTAGTAATTATTATCATCCTTATCGTTTTTTAACCACTGATATTTTCATACTTAGTTTTTGACATTTTAATTTATTTCATTTACAAGAATAAGTAGGAAGAAGGTCRGAGCAGCTGCAGTTCAAATTTTATTTTAATAGCTTTTAATTGTCTTTTTTTCTATTTCACGAACTCAGCATGCTAGGGAGTATTATAATGTAACAACATATTAATGTCGAAATAGTATGCAGAAAATACAAGTTACAATAGATTACTATTTCAGAATTTCATGTTTTTACCTTCATTGAAGCCAACTTTGCATAAATGCATACTTTATTGTAAGCAGGACGGTACATGAGTATACCAGCAATGAAAGCCACGAACAAAACCAAGCATCCAAGTCTTTTCAACCACTTCTTTCTCTTTTGAGCTCTACCAACATCAAGTAATGGTTGAGCACACTTTTCAATTTGAGCAGGAGAAAAGCCTTCTTGCACACAAAACTGATATAGCTGCCTGATTTCTTTATCAATCAAAGACAGCTTGTCCTTAAGATCCATCTTTTKCTCAGCTTCTGAGACATCACCCGAAATTTGAGGGAAAATGTTTTGATTTTGATCTGAGGCAGCCATTTTGACAAGAACGTTTCCTGTTTTGAGGTGGATTTCCCATCATGCAAMGCTTATCATACTTGCTGCAATATTATTGGTCTACAAGCAATCGAGGTGTCCATAACAACAGATGGTAACATTTCGGCAGCAAAATGGCTTCCCTGACAGTGAATTGGCTTCTTTATAAAGTCGAATGTTTTATCAAATTTTGGTCGATCAAAGTATAACTAACTGATGAGAAAGATTGCGTATTCTAGAAAATGAAATCGCTTGGAGCATTTGACAATAGAACACGAACACGTTCCAAAGGTTCGAATTCACCATCAACTCCAAAGACAACTAGTCAGTCTAGAGGAACTAGATTCGGCAGTAGAATTAAGGATTATGGTTGTACTGTCCGTGATATTGAAACCTTCATCGATGATGAACTGTACCGTTTGAATTATCACCCAGATACAACTCCGCATGACCGCTACATCGTCCATAAACATGCTTTTGATCATCTAGTAGAAGAGAAAACTGTGGTTTACAAACCTGTGTTAGCCACGATAAAAGCTGAGTATGAAGACTGCATTAATGCTCTTGAGAAAGGCCAAAGCCAGGCAATTTATTTGCAAGGAATGGTTAAAGCTCTACTTGTTGAAAAGTCGACGTTGACTCAGTTTGTAAGACGTGGTGATGAACTCGAGGAAAAGCTAGAAAAACTTCGTGCAGCAAACAAGTCTCTCAAAAGTAAAGTTCAGAACTATCGCGAGGAAAGAGAGCGAAGATTAGCATCTGCAAGGAAGAAGGAAATGCAAGGTGTTAACAAAAAGGTTCAGCATACCATCCCTGGTCTTAGCGTTGATGAACTTACAGATGTTCCAACGCTTCGCCGCACACTGATCAAACTCGAGATGCAGCTCAATCAGCTGACTGAAGCAAACGAAACACAATACGTAGAAAAAGAACAGAAATCAGTCTTAAAGAAACAAATCACAAAGAAAGATGAATCATTACAAGACACTCTAGAGCAGCATAACAAGTTGAAGGAGAGGTGTGATGTAATGAAATATATTGTTGAGGTGAGTATCATTCCCGTGGTGTTAGGGGGTTGTAATAAGACCTGYATCTTGATCTAAAAACTTGCTGGCAGATCCATTGTAAGACTTATAACAATTACGGTTGTTCCCGTTTTGATGATACATAGTATCATAGTTAACTATGATAGTATGTGGTATGTGTGTGAGTGCATGAAAATGCCTGATACATCACTGCTTCCAACCTTGTCAAGACATTACTCTCTTACACTTAGTGTTATAGTTTAAAGAGTGTGTGTTATGAGTTAGCCTGTGTACATTCTATGTACACAGGCTAGTTATGACCGAGTCTGTTTCACTGGAATATTGTGGACTATTCCATTTGCATGTAATGCCTGTTGATTTGTTTTCATAAATTTTGTTACTTTATTAGACTTCAAGAAAAGCACTTGCAAACCCTCATAAAGATATTCACCTGAAGGATGTTGTAACAAAAGCTCTATCAGATTATGGCAAGAGTAAATACAAAAAGGCAACTAATTCACTCCAGCAATTCATAAGCTTTGACGATGATGATCCCATTAAAAAGAAAGAAGCAGAGAGAATGATTGAGTATTGYGACCATTTCAATAACCTGTTTGACTTTGGTCAATATGAAGCAGCTGCCATCCATGCTGCTAACTCTCCATTTGGGATACTTAGAAACTATGAAACCCTGATCCGGTTCAAGCAAGCAGATGAAGTCGAAGGTCAAAGAAAGCCATTGCTGATTTTTTGTGATGCTCTAATGGAAACTGCATGTGCTGCACAGCCCTTGACACAAGCAATGTCTGTGGAATGTATMAAATGTGCTCTAATGGAAGATTGTCTTGACTTGGCAACACATTGGTTGGCACAAGGGAAGCTGTCATACTCAATACCTCTTGGAGAGGTTCTGTTTGAACACTGTAAATGTGTCACAAAGTGTACTTGTGCCTGCACAATACTTGCACAAACAGTGTACACTCATGTTGGTGCACATGAACGAGCAGCAAAGTGTCTCAGTAAGCAACAAAAGTATAGTACACTTTTACATTACATTCAAAGATATGCTAAATTTCAAATAAGTGATTACAAGAACTTATTGCAGACAGCTCCTTCAACTGATCTTGCTCAACTAATGTTGACAACAAAGTTGTCTTCTAAATATGATGTCCCTGTTCTTACTTTGGCTAATGTTGCTTCTATTCTCTTGAACATTGGAGAGGAAACCATACTGATTCAAGTAATGAAGAACCTTCAAAGTCAAAACAATGATGTCCTACAACAATTAATTAAAAGAATAGCTTTTGAGGAGATGGATGACATGACTTTGGACAGATGGTCAGAAGTTGTTGGACTTTGTGAAAAGGAAGGCATGATAGATGTGGGAATTGAAATCTTATCAGCAGTTACAATAGGGGAAGCTCTGAATAGAGCATCTATTGCTTTCAGTATGGACTATATTTCATAGCTATTTAGCTTTTTTTCAAGATAAATGTTTCACATCAAAAATGTTGGCATTTTAAGTTTATATAAATCTGTTCATTAGTTTTGTACACAATTGTTTGCTAAATGTATTCACAATAGAAAAAGATCTAAGATTGTACTGTTGTAGTAAAAGAAAACATTTACTTACATCAGATTAATTGGTCAACATATCAAAACACTGACACAAGCCGGCTGCAAAAATGAAACATAAGCCAATATTATCAATCTATTTCAAAGTGTTTGGTTGATATGCTGATCAGTCTGACTGATATCTATAATGAAATATCTGTGATACAATGACAAAATGTATATAAAGCTTACACTAAATGAAGAGAAAACAGAAAAACATTTTGGAAATTAGCTCTGGCTTTGTTGGATTTCTCATTATTACTGATTGAATACATTTTTGTAAATATTTACAAGTAACATGTGTGCTATATATATTTAAAAAAATATTGTATTAATTTTTAATGCATTATTTGTGTGATATATGGAAACAAACTCCATTATATGTTGTGAGATTTTCAAAAATTCTGAATTGTCTTCGTACAAATCCCTAATAATACTGACAAGTTGGAATGATTGAATAATTCAGTTTGTCTTTTTCTCCACTGTCTCAGCAATCTGTTTGATATTTCTATATTTCATAATTTTGAAACTTTCTTTTCAATGCAGATCTACCACCCCATCCTGTACTGCACACTTTTGACACACATGTAGAGCCATCACTTGATGTACTAACCGAAGATGATGTTGCAGTGGTCTCTGAAATATTAGAAATGCAACGTTATGCCACAGGGAACCCAGATGGAGAATAGAGACTAAGGACTGTGAGAGACAAGGTTCTTTTTATTTTTGGGACAGCATATATTATATACTTATCACCAAGATTTCTGACCAAGAGGAATGCAAGGGTATATGATTGGGGGTTAATGGTATTACCASTCARCATTTTCTTTTTGGGAGGTTGTGCCCAGTGTAGATGTGACTGTGCATTGACTTTTGTCCAACTGTCAAACGACATAAAATCCTTCAGGCCACTGTTTCGCCAGGAATCATATGACTTTTTCTTAGACTCATCACATAGAACATCCCTTGCCCGTTGAAGTCTAAAAGGAATATGGAAACCATTATTTACTCTTGCGGAATTAGCATTCGATTTACTAATAAAGTGAAAATGAAACTGAAAATGTCCAATTTGGAAAATGTCCAAAAGTGTAAGTTTGTGCGTTACTAATTTGCTCTGAATGTTTGATTGGATGATTTTGTACTAGTAATCGATGTCTGCTTTACTAAACAACACAATACTGTACCTCTGGAACATTTGTTTTTCTTCGTTGTTTTTGTCAGGGTGATATTTCAGAGCTTTCTTCTTGAATTCCGCATTTATCTGTTCTTTAGTGTTAAGTTCATCACATCCAAGTAATTCGTAGAAGTCTTGAGAATCCTTATTCTTTAAATCATCGCCAAAATTTGGTTGAGATTCCTCCGCCATTGCAACACAAATAATTTGTGCGATCAAAACAAAACAAAGCTGGTCGACCGGGTTTCCTGTGGTATATTTGGCCGCGAGATTCGTACCTAGCGATTTAGATGTCATTCGTCTTGATCTTGGTGAATTTCCTGAAAATGTGATCTAAAATCCTTTTACTTGACGTTGTAGAAGACCAATTTTAATTTTTTTAGATATGGAAGAAACTGTTGAGAGTGGGACTTCGTCTGTGACAGTGACAGAGGAGGAAACATATAGTCCAGCGACAGTAAGTTGATGACTATAAATCTTCAAGATTCTTTCTGCGCTGTCAGCGCTATCGCTTAATAGTTTGCAATAATTACAGCAACAAAGACTTCTCCTGAAGTTAAAGAAACCAAAAAATGACAAGAAAGTTCAGTGGGACTCGTCGGCAGTCGACAATGAAAATATGGACAAGAAAAAGTCAAAATGTAAGTTTGTCTATCACCCAGATTGTAGCTTATAAGTAATTTTTTGCATGGTTAATTATTCTATTTCGTTATAATGTATTACAGGTTGCTGTATTTATAGCAAACCCAGAATATTTGGTGAATCATCATCATCTGAGAGTGATTCTGATGATGATGGATGTGGACACAATGCGTATTGTACAGGGCACAAGAAATCCAGTCATCATCATCATCATCACCATGATGAAAGCAGTCAAGGAAATGATGAACAAGGTCCTAGCAACCAAGAAAAGCAATAAAGACAGTATTGTCTAGTTATAATTTGCACCAATGGTGAAAATATTGCCAGTAACTAGGAGAATTCATGTTGTAAGCAGTTATGGGTTTCAAATTTATCATTATGTTGTCATTCAAGAGGCAGACATAAAGGTTTTCAATAGATTCAGATCTGATGTAACTTAGACCACAGAACAATGACAACAATGTTTTTCATGTTTATAAAACATATATTTCTAATTGTATTCCCACATACTAGTATCTTTTGTTATATAGTATAGTTGCTAGAGTCTTCACAATAAACCAGTGAAATGTTAAATTATAAGGACAAAAAGAGTGACTTTCATTATGTAAAATAACAGTAAGGACTAGAGTGATAGAGTTGACTAATTTATGAAATATAAATAGGTTTCCTATTTTACACTATTTAGTTGTAATTATAGTAATGTTTGCTTCATGAATTTAGTGTGTTTACTCTAGACTCTTTCCTGTTTGTTCTCTATTTGTGTTTACACACTATGTTGTTGTCATGTGTATTGTTTTTCCTTTAACAGATGACCAAAAATCACATGAATTAGCAATGTTGTTGATACCTAATTCATCTTATTTATAAATCCATTCATATTTGTGAAAACCAAAAATTCTTTGTACAGCCTAAATCACAATTTACGTCAAATAAAATAAAATGAATTGTCAGCAGTGTGGTATTTCGTGCAGTGAGTGACTTGTCTCGTGTGTGGACTTCCCCTTTAATACATTAACACTGCACTTCTAATAATAATCATCAACAAAATGTACAATAATATAAGTACATACAATCAGTAAATAAGACAATATACAACCAAAAGTCAATTCTCTGCTAAGATGTTGAACATGAGATTGCACCATCACATCTCCATCTCCATACTCAAACAGATAACACATTTCTAAGGCATGGTTTTTTGTCCAGCAATCAAATATTGCCCAAAGTGTTACCTATTTGATTTAAACAAGAGGATTGCTTAAATGACTTTGGTATTTAGCATATCTCATTCACTAACTGTACAATTTTATTCATCTATTAGTGGGTAGTCTTCCTAACATCCCTTGGGTTCTCTCAAAAAATTTGAATGTTTCATCGCTTTATGCTTTAATTATGAAAAGCTACGATAGAAAAACATTTATAAAACATCATGGACCAATACTTGATTACAAACACTAAAAGTGTGACAGACCTTGTTCTTTTTGCTACCAAATAGTGCTAAATACATATAAGTATTAGCATAATATTTAGCAATGTTTAATGGTTTTTATTTTGAACACTTTTAGTGATTGTATGTACTTATGCTTATCTAAATTTCCTAATCCCTTTCACAGTTATAGACACTATTTGACATCAATTATGTCATAACTTATCAATGGTGATGTCAGTATAGAAAATGATTTGTTACAAAGCCATCTATCTATTAAGCTATTTTTACTACCTTAAGCTTAAGTTTATTAGTTTTTTTATTATTTTAACCATATCGGCTACTCCATACAACAGCATGCTTATTTCGGTCGCAGCTTATTATTCTTGTACCTGTTGGGTGCCAGGCTGCTACTATGACTCCAGAACTAGAAAAAACAAAACATATTTAATAATCACTTTCTATGAGAAATTTAATGAATACATTTGTTAAGAGTAATGTTAGGCAGATGTGGACATTTCTGATGATAATCACTGTACAAACCTATGTTCTTTTAAAACTTTTTCTAATTTTGCTGTTGAATTATTCCAGATATACACACTACCATCTTGAGATCCACACATTACATATTGACCATCAGGGCTGTGGAAAACAGGCAGAGCAAATAAAGAATAACTATAACAAGAAGCATATTATTATTATTGTTATTTTATTATTATCATTATTATTAACTAAAGCAGCATTGAGAGATTACACATCAAAGGAAATGCAAAAAGGTTCAAGATCACAAAAGGCAAGAGGTTGATTTACCTAAAACAAGCTCTTGTCCAGTCTGTTGCTAGTCTGAATCCATCACCACTGAAAATATAATCATAGTTACAGTAATCACTTTATCTTTAGTCCAAAAATGAAATGAAATATAATTTATACCTGCAGGTTGAAACAACTTGGCTCATTCTCAGATCAATAACTTTAACTGTATCATCACGTGTACTGGCAAGAACTTGGTTCATGTCTTTAGAAAGAAAAAATAGCAAAAAGTGAAACATTAACAAATATTGTAGAAGGATTGGTTGAAAAATAGCATTGAATTATATATGAATTAATGGGAATGGAACAATGAAAATTTTAGAAGGAACAAAATGAGAAATGATGGAGTAATGGTAAGTGGAGAAACGTTTAGAAGGGATCACATGAGAATAATGGAGTAATGGTAAATGAAGAAGGTACAGGAAATCTGATAGATTGTATTAACAATATCACAAATCCATGTAGCGTTACCAGGAGAAAGGTCTAAAGAAGTTACTTTTCCTTGTAATGTGATTTCACCAACGGATGTATCTGACCTTTAGAAATGAGGCATAAAATAAAAGATAAAAATATTATTATGTTACATGGATTACACTTTTTATAATAGCTTGTCAAATCGTTCACCTTGAGTCCCAAAATCGTACTCTTTTATCAAAATGGCCACTTATTATTTGGCTTCTGTAAAAATGCAAAAGTTTCAAAAAATATGATGAATATGAACGACACTGTATGATATTACTTACCCTATAAGCTCATTAATGACAAGGTCATTACAACTTGATCCAGCAAAGATTGTACGAATACCTGGTCAACAAACATCATAATCATCACTGGTACATCTATAATGACAATTCTCACACCAAGTTTTCCTTACAAGCTTTGCTTCTCAGATCCCATATCTTTAAAGTTCTATCATGGCTTCCTGAGACAACTTTGGATGCATCTGAACCCATGAACTTTGCTGTCATGACTTTGCTTTGATGTCCAGTTAAAGTATGCTTTCAAATTAAGTAGAGAATATTTTTTTTTATCAAAGCTGCAAATTACATTATCTGGAAGGGAAAGCACTACTTTCTTCACTTACTCTGAGTCTTTCATCAGCAACTGTCCAAACTCGACAAGCTTGATCATTAGAAGCTGCCAGAATCAACTTTTCCTGTAAAGCACACACAGTAGCTTTGTCAGTCCCAAATACTACAGAGTACATGAGATCAGATGTCATATGGCCGAGCAATAGCATGACCAACAGCTGGTCACGGAATTTTGACTAGTAGTAATCCCAAATGAAAAATGCTGATCCAAAAATACATTATGGCATGGTATGAACACTGCATGAAATGACAATATTGCACAGTTATAAAAAAATAAGTTTTATATCCTATTGTATAGTTATAATTGATTTTGGATAAAAGAATACAAACCTGCACATCAAACTGAACTGATGTGACAGCATATGTACAGCCATGCATGGTACCTTTTGATATAATTGTATCTATACAAGAAAAAGTGAATATCTTTTACCATTTATATGAGACTTTGTTCTGATTGAGTAGAATTAAAACTTTAAAGTTCATAAACTGAATTGTTGAATACCATTTCCAGTTTCCCAGACTTTTACTTTCTTGTCCCCTCCACCTGTAACAAACAACCTTCCTGATATGCTAAACTTTGCTGATAAAACCTCCCCATCATGTGCATCCTGAAAATGAGTAGATGAAGCATTGGATTCACTTTCTAGCCTATTTGGCAATTAAAACTGAACTGATGTAATTATCACCAATGTTATTTTTCAGTACTTACAAATTTGGTTTGGGGAAATGCTGGAATAGTAGTAATAACACAGTATGGTATATGAGGCGAATCTGATAAATTCCTAATAGTACAATAAATAACCAATGAATATTGAATACGTTTTTCATTGCTCTCGATTATAATCAATACTGTGGAAAGCAAGTTGAGAACCAATATATTAAATGTAAGCTATCTACAACCCTTTCAAACCAGTTGATCATTTGCAAACAACATCAAAAAATTATAAGACTGTACTTGATAAACGTCAACAACTTAAATATGGTGGGATACACAGAAAACATCATTAACTTACGGTATATTTACAGGTTCTTTGGCTGCTTCTAATAATTCCCTCTGCAATTGTGCTTGCCGAGTTCTTTTCAAATAAATAAATATAATACTGATCAATAAAATAAATAAAAAGTCATACATTTTCTAGTTGATTAGTCCCAGTGGTAGGTAGTCCTCTACACCCAAAAGAAGCAAATCCTCCCACCCTTCTTATACCTGACTTGTAATTCATTTTCCATATTAACTTTATCTGCATCTTTTGCTTTTTGTATCATCCATCTTTCAACCTGATAAAACAAAGAAGAACAAATAAAGAAATAACTAAATAAATGAACAAAAAATGAATGAAGCAATAAATAATTGAACAAATACAATGAATAAATGAATGAAGGAACATTTGGATACATGAGAGATTTAACAAAGCAAAGAATTGATGAATGGATGAACAAAATAATAGTTCGATTAGTTAAAAAAGATGAAGAAAATGAATAATTGAAGAAATGAATAAATGGAACAATAACAAGAAAGGAAGATGATCGAAAAATTGAACAAATGAGCAAAAACAAATTATGCAAAAAAGGTTATACAATGTACCATACCAATTCTCTATTTTCCTCTTGTGTTTTTTTGAATTTATCTTCAAGTGAAGTGTGTTCAAGTTGCAGTACTTGCAGCTCATCTTTTATTAACTAAAAAAGGATAGAAAAAGAAGAAAAGAAGAGTAAAAAAAACATGAAAAAGACAAAGAGAAATAATAAAATTCAGTTACATTCAATACCTCATTAGCTTTTTGTAAATCTATTATAGTCTGTCCTAGGTTTTGACATTCAGTTTTCATAGCATTTTGGTTACTTATTGCATCGTGAAGCCTGTAAACGTACAATAGAACAGTTGGTATGTTTTAATCAATGTACCACTTTTATCTTTCATGACAATTTTACTTGAAAATCTGCTACAATCATGATGATAACATCTGCAGTATCAATGATATGGTAATGACTATGACAAGTAACAGTATTGATGACGGAAAATAAAATGTTGAAGAAGTGACAGAATAGTAAAGAAAATCAATTTTAGTTAAAATAATAGGAACAATATTTCCAAAAGTATTTAACATGCTATGTATACACAGTTCTTACTGAGCTTCTTTTTGCAAAACTTCCTCTTCTTTTTGCCTAATTTGATTCATTAGTTCTGTTACATGTTGAGCATTCTGAAATAAAGATAGAGTGTATGATAACATGAAATAAGAAAGCTGCTATAGATGAAAGTAGAGAAAGAAAGGCAATATTTGAAGAACAAAACAACAACAAAGAGAACAGTACAGAGCGAGAAGATACCATATTGATTGCTTACTTCAGACTTCCATCGATGAAGCTCTGTCAACTCTTCTTGAGTTTTAAAGAGCTTTTGTTCAAGAGAGGTTACTTTTTCTGATGTTGCAGTTGCTGCAGCAGCTCCTGCTCCAGATGCACTAAGTAAATGAAATTAAAGAATGACGATAATAACTCAGTAATCAATCTTGAAGAAAATCTAAGAAGAGAAAGGAAGGGAAGGGTGGAAGAAGAGAGGAAAAAAAGAAAGGAAGGAGGATATATTGAAAAGGAGGAGAGAAAGGAAGGACTGGAAAATGATGAAGGGAGGAGGAAATGAGAAAGGGAGGAAGGAAGAACAAAGGGAGGAACCTATAGAAAGAAATCTACCTAAGTTCTTGAATCCGGCCTTGTAGCTCTGTCCTTTCCTAAAAAATAAAATAAATTCACAAATGATGCATTGTCAAATATTCCTGTACATATATTGAATGGAAACATGCGTTGAAATGGAAATTATTGAATGCAATGATAGATGCATTGTCTCTTGGTGTAAGCTTACAGACAGGGTTTTTGGTCTGTTTACAGTAAAATGTCTGAAGAAACAACCTTGTGCTATCCATGCATAAATTAATCAGCTCAGACGTCAAATGCAGCAACCGAAAAATAATTTATTACTCACCTGCTGAAGTTGAAAGGTTTGTATTTCTAGTTGGATTATTTTTGATTTAGAAGAATCTGCTACTTCAAACAGTCTGTTATCTAAAGAAAAAACAATAAAAAATTGTGCTATAAAGAGTGAAACCTTGAGTGAGTGACTGTCAGAGGAATCTTAATCTTATAAGAATTCATTCTATCATCCGGAAGTCCAAATAAAATTGAGAAATATGGCGTCTAGACTGATTTTTGGATTTGATACGAAGCGTAGATTGAGATATGTTCTAATTAATCATACACACTAGCATTAGCACAATGCATCAGATAAACTATGTAAAATGTCTTTCAAAAACGCAAGACAGAAAGGTTTGACAACCCAACGTTTCAATGTTTTGCTTCTCATATAATGTAAATAAACCTGCAGCGATATCCAATACCCTTCTTTGAGTACATCTATTCCATTGTGAACTTACGTGCTTTCACAAGATCGTCGAAGTATTTTAATTCCTGTAGATTTCGATCTCCAAGTTTCTGAAGTATTCTTTTTCTCCAAGTCAAACCCTCCCCCGCCATTTTGGATTTACTAGTCTGTCGTAACCTCCTCACGGCCAAGCAGACACGTTCTAATAATTGGAAGACTGGGCTCTACTGTACAACATGGAGGCTATCAAGGAAGCGAAATGGTTGTACACAAATGAAAACAAAAGAAATTTGATCGAAGCCTGTGAAACATTTATATTTGATCTTGACGGTTCGTATTCTTATAATRTTTTGTTACAATTCACGAGGTCCTCTTGAATTATCATCAAAATCTAGAGACTTTGAAAAAAACATAGCAGATTTCGAAGGCATTTTCTAATTTAGAAATTCTTTAGGTGTAATATGGCTGCAAAAAAACTTAATTCCTGGTGCTACAGAGCTTGTGGAATGCTTAAGAAACATGGTAAGGACTACAATTTTTCTAATAACAATAATTATTTTGATTTATTTCCCCTTCTTGTCTTCAGTGTGTGTGTGGTATGTGGTGTTAGTCGTGCCTATGCACCCTGGGCAAATATTGTTTTAAGACTTAATTAATAGACTCCTTGCAAGTGAAGTCAAAGCAGCTCCATCTGGAGGATAAAAACTTTTTCTCTCTAGGTACTGCATTCTCATGAAGGGGTCTATAAGTCATAAGTAACAATTTGCAGTATTAGTTGGAATCATTGCCKGAAACTCCTTGTCTGGGYTTTCTGTGCTAAAAAAGTTGAGCCTCCCATTTGGAGGCTTGGTGATGAGTGTTCGGGACCTGATATGCAAGTTGTTTCTTATGTACATTTTGGCTGTCACAGACACTATTGCTCAGTTTTTCATTAGTTATGACCAACTGATTTGAGCTCAGGGGAGGAGGGGTCCGAGGGGAAAACAAGAGGGGAGGGGAGTCTTAGGGGAGGGGTGGAGGGGTTGGGGAGGGTGAAACATTTTTTCCCCTAGAGCTGCTATGCAGGCTAATAAAAAATATGATTTTATTCCATCCTCAATCCTTATCTATAACTAAAATACACTTCATTTTCTAGGGAAAGAAAGTTTTCTTTATAACCAATAATAACGACATTTCAAGGGACAACTTCCTAAAAAAGTTTGACAAATTTGGTATGAAAGTTAGCAAGACTGAGATCTACACAGCAGCATTTGCAACTGCTTATTACATGAAACACATTGTTAAGTTTGATAAAAAGGTGTACATGATTGGTGGTAAAGGATTATCAGAGGAATTAACTGCTGTAGGAATACCTAACATTGGATATGGTGTGAGTATAGTTATGACATAATTCAAGGATAAATGCAGAAAGGAGTTGGAGAGAAGGCAAACAATGAAAGCAAGGTTGTATCAAACTTTCTAAAAGATAACTTCTAATAATAACTTCAAATGTTTTGCAGCGTGATGATGTTAAAGATGATTTTAATATTCAATATGATGTGGACTTTAATTTGGACCCCGAGGTGATTATTCATGAATTAAATATAATATTTTAATCATTGTGCTATTATCTATCCATCCATTTGTCTATTCCCAACAAAGCAGTGGCATTCATCTATCTAATGACTTGGTAGGATTAAAGTTGGCACCTACGACCTTTGGCACTAAATACATTATTTAATTATGAATTATTTAAAGATGGATCAATATTTATCTAATCAAACTTGAAGGCCAGATATGTGAGTTGTTTGTGTTTAGGTGGGGGCTGTAGTTAGTGGATATGATAAGTTTATTAGCATTAATAAACTTATCAAAGCTAGCAGTTATTTGGCGAGAGATTCATCTTGTCTCTTTGTTGCTACAAACCCTGATGACAGAATGCCAGTACCTAAATCAAAAGACTACATTATTCCAGGTATTGTTTCATGAAATATGATTTCTACATACCGTATTTACTCGAATAGATGCCGCGGCGTTTATTTCATTTTTCACGATCCAGCTGCGGCGTTTATT